GGGGGGGGGGGGGGGGGGGGGGGGGTTTGTCCAACCTTATGTTTGTCACCCCTCTTCCAACTCTGTTTCAGAGCTTTTTATACAGCCTTCGACCCCTAGAATAAACCAATGAACAACCTGAGCTAATTTCAAAAAGGGAACATAAATAATATAAGAAAAAGATAAAATGAATATAACCTTATGGCCTCAAATTTCTGACTTTGTCTTTGCTCATTGTGCCATTTTTGGTTTTTAGTTATTTTGTTTATTGAACATGTTTCTGAATTCTAGGGGTTAATTTTTTCTCCTTTTGTATATATATCTTACTTTGTAGTGAGTTTGAGGAGCTTGAAGCAGTACCAACCTCTGCAGTTATTGAAGGACCACTGGAACCATCATTTACTACCTCTACTTCCACAGATGCACCTGAAGATTCTTCCTTCATAAACTATTTTAGTGTATGTATTCTACTTATTCTAGATTCACACTTCCTTCTATGTGATTTGGTGGATCATGGGTTTTAGTTATGGGTTCTGGCTTGAATGAACATGTAGACTTTGCTGGAGTGGGTTAAAGAAAGAGCGCTATTGAGGGGTCTCCCCTAGCTTGAATGAGAATTTTTTTTTTTTGTAGCTAGAATGAGAAGTTACAGCCCTATATGTTGCCCAACTATGGTGGTTAATTAGGAGCTAAGTATCACTAATTAAACCTCAGTAACTGACAAGGATGTGGCCAACCGAGTCGCATTTTGATATTTATGGAAGTTTCCTCGAGATTATATGAACTCACTTTGTTTGCTTTTTGGACTGCAGATTATTATAAACTAGGGGTAACTTGTGGTTGAAGGCACGGTGTAATGTGAATGGTTTTGAGAGATATGTTGGTGGTCGTTAGATGAGTCTATTTGAAACCGTCGGATGGGCTTAGGCTGGGCTACTAATCCTTAATAAAAGCCATGATGGTTTTGCAAATATTGTTGAATATCTTGTGTGTGACTTTCTTGGAACTTCCCATGAAGATTCTGGGTAGTTATAATTACACACTCTGATATGACAATAAATGGATTTATTACTATTAACGTTTCTTGCTAGTAATGGAAAGAAATTAAAGGTTTTTCTTTTTTAAATATGTGTCCTTTTTGCATAGGATGGATACTGTAGGATGTTACAGGCATGGGACTGCTGAGCTTGCACATAATTTATAATTTGTAGGCAGTTTTTTAGATGGATTCTCAAACTTCTTCGGATATGGACGAAATTTTCAATCAATTAAGATGAATTGCGTGAAACAACGGTAAGAGTTTGTTGGGACAAGTTTTTGATGAGTTGAATTGAGTTGTTTTACAACGTCATATATTAGAACTTTGTGACTGCTTATCTTGTCAACAGAGTGCAGAATATTAATACCAAAAAAGGAGACAAACTTTAGTGGAAGTGATACAGATGTTAGATGCAGATGAAAGTTTGTGACAATGCTACATTACTTTTTAATTCATTGAAAAAGAAAGACGAGATAAGATAAGCACTGATGTCGAAAGTCATTTATGTCCCCGAATGTGTTAATAAGATTTTATTTCTAATGTTCTAACAATGCTGAATAGGTGATGAAGTATAGGTATCAATGGTTTCTTTTTGACATTTAGACGGTACAATAGAATGAAAATGCCAATAGGAAAAGAGTGCCTGGACATGGTATGGAATCAGAAGTTGTGTCAGTTCATCAAAGAGGGCAGTTTGGGGGGGATCCTCAGCTCTAGGGCTTAGGAACTGAAGTCTTTGGATGAGTGCTTCAGTCGTAGGACAGCCTAGATTTCTTAATCTCTGTGGTTGAACTGCAAAGGAAATGTGTTGGATCAATGGATTAAAACAAGAAAAATAGGTTTGGGGTCTTGTAGGACAATGTTTTATGGCCTTTTCTTTGGGTGTTGTGAGTTAAGGTGCTATGAATTTCTGTAGCATCTCAACTTTAGCAAACTAGAAAAAGTGAGAGAGGAAAGGATAGAATAGTACCCTTCTCTTCAAGGGCTTGATTGAGATTCTAATTCTTTAGAAGAGATTCTCAACAGGTGAGAAACATCATTTTACTAACTATGATATCATGTTATAGTGAGGGGCCATAGTAGTATACATTAGAATCCAAAGTGATTCATTTTGACCTTCCGAAAATTGATCCATTGAGTATTCTAACCAAAGAGGACACAAATTAAATTTCCTTGCAAATAATGTGCCAAATTGCAGCCTAAGAAAAGCCTACTAGAATTCATGAGATTCCAACATAAATATCAACCTTAGAGAATATAATTTTTTGGAAATAAAAATTCCACCAAATAAACTTCTAAAATGATTCAACCATTCTGATCAAGAATTGAAAGAGAAAAAAGAAAAAGAAAAAGAAAAGCACCCATAACCAAGCATGGACTTCACATCAAACGATCTCAATGCATAAAATTACTACTGAATGCATAAGGGAAAGGAAGCTTTTTAAGGTGGAGGAATTTGTGGCCGATGTATGTTATGACATTGAAAAGTGTAAAGGCATTTAAGTTCCCTTGGAATACTATTCTTTCACTGAGGTCCCCTCAAAGATGTCCTCCCCCCCCGGGCCCCAAAAAAAAAAATGATAATAATAAAATAAAAAACCAATGGCTTGGGGGAACAATTTTTAAGGCTGGTAACTTGGTACGTAATAAGAGTTCTTTCCCATTGGTGTGGCATGTTTAGGGGAGTGAAGGAGAGTTTGAACCATTTGCTCGTATAACTGATAGTAGGAGTGTTGATATATATTCTTGTCATTGAGTTCTTGGGGAGTTGATGTGTGCGTTGTGGCGCTAGAGGGCTAGCTGGTATGGCCGATGGTGCCACCATACCTTGTCGAACTGATAGGTATTAATGCTGAATAATTGAAGACCTTTATTGCAAGGGTGTGATGGTATTTCTTCTATCTTCTATTCTTTCAGACCGAGTACTACGTATGCTGGTGCACATATCTATGGTTTTCTTCTGATCTTTGCTTATATCTTTATGTGTTGTCAATACGCACCTGTATATCTGATATCTTGCAATTCTATATCACTGTAGGCGGCTATGAATTTGGGGCATAATGTGGTGAATTCTGGACTGCCATACCATACTTCTGCAACCAGTCCTTTACCTAGTCGTGTTCCTAGTGCGGTTCCCTCTCCTAGGCCAACTCTGCAAATACCATCCCTTCCTCTTTCAGCTTCATCAAATTCTCCATTGCCCCCTCATGACACTCCTGACCCACTCAACAGCAGAAATCGTGTAACCAATCTTGTCAAGCCCTCTTCTTTCTTTACACCCCCTTCTTCCTCATCTGCATTAATTACGCCACCTCTTCCTTCATCCGTGCCAACGGCTGCTCTGCATCCTCCCTTGAATCTACAACGTCCCCATGGTACTCCAATGCTTCAACCCTTTCCACCACCCACTCCACCACCATCTCTTACTCCTAGCTCTACTCCAACTGCAAATTATGGACCAATGAGCAAAGACAAAGTTCGTGATGCACTTCAAATACTTGTTCAGGTATCTGTGGTTCCCCCAGCCATTTCTTTGATATTGTTTTAATTTACCGAGTAAGTAAACCTTCATGAGCACTGTTTTTACATGTACTTTTTTTTTTAACTGGTGCAACATGTACTTTAAACTTGCGAATTATACTGCATATGGTGTTCTGGCATTTATCTACTTAACCTTAAAGGTCGGGCTTATGACCCTATTTCAATGATTAACAGTAGAATATTATCAGATATTTGTCTAAAACCAAGTCTTACATGCTTCCAGTGATTTGATATCTATTTATTTTTGTAATAATAAGTAATGACCTTTGATTACATGCTTCTAAGTTAACAGCTAAAACATAATAAGCTGAAAAATGAGTTTGCTCGAAAGACTACTTCCAAAATGTTTGGACTGTTGGAAAATCATTTTATTTCCTAGAAATATTCTTTCAGTTAACGGCTTTGAACAGTCTAAATTTGCTTATGAAGTCACACCTGGGAATATAGAGAATCAATGCATCTGGCTTGGGGCCTTATCAGCATCTGTGGGAAATCTTAGTGTCAGTTAAATGCCACATTTCTGAGGCCTCTGGTTTGAATGGAAGACCCTATGTGACGAACTTGGGGATCTAGCTTTAGCATCAGTTAATTATTTTTTCTGTGGTATTTGCATTTGCTTGTTGTGTAGATTTGAGCTGATAGTAATCAGGCATACATGCTGTATATCTTTTCAGATTATTTTTGTATTGATTTGGACACTTTTTTTGAAAACGGATCAACCAGAATGATAATTCTGGGAGCAAGAGAAAATTGAAGTTAAGGAAGTGGCAGGATCACTATGATTTGATACCATGTCTTCAGAAATATAAGAGAGTAGTATGGAAGCCTAAGCATCCACTTCACTGTAGCAACAATGGCTTAATTGTTTTTAGCAAAAAGCAAAGTTTCCCAACGGAGAAATGGCAACAAGTACCACCACCCACGCCACAATAACAATGATAATAGGACTAATGTTATAAAATTGATTAAGACAGAACTTTTCATTATTTACGTTTTGTCACTGGAAAAAGCTATTCTCACTTGGATTGTTTTAGCTTTCTGGTAGTTCCCAATATGTATAGTTGGAGGTTCTCAATTGTTTTATCTTTGGTTTTGCTTTTGTTCCAGGACAATCAATTCATTGACATGTTCTACCAAGCATTGCTGAAGGCGCATCAATCATAACTACTTAAAGGAAACATTGGCATTCTCTGCCTGTAGATTTTGGGTACAAATGCATGTAAAATCAGTTTGTATATAGCTTGCTGTATTCAGACCAGTTCGTGAAAAGTTGTAAGGTTAGTGTTTCTTCCCTGGAGGCACCACAACTGGCCTTGATCGTTCATAATTCTCTTTGTTCTAATGTTCTAGCAGGAATAGGGTTTTGCCAACTCCTGTTGGTGAGGAATTTAGGTCCATGGTGCCAGTGTTATATTCTCGGATGAAATTGTAGTCCAAACCGTTATGAACAACATCAATAAGCGATGCAGTTTTTCCTAGGAAACTTTGCGTTATTTCATTGTTTGTGTTCCCGGTTATGTTCCAATAGTTGAGATTCAATTTAACATGCTTTCTCACGAAACACTGCATTAGGGTACTCTCTACTCTTCTGGCTTTTGTCTCTCATTTAAGGTGGTTTTTGTGGATATGATTCAAAGTTGGGCATACTTGAGACAGTTGAAATTGGGAGGGATCCAAATTCCCTTTATCCTCTTAGCATATGATTGGTTTTGGATATCTCACCAGGGTAATTGAATTAAATTTAGTCCTCAGGCTTATTTTTCTCGTGATCGATCGGAAACGAATTTTACTCTACATATTTTCAGTCTCAACATTATTATTCGATCATGTCATTGTTATATGATTAGATTACTAATTAGGTCACTTTTTTAGGTCCTAATAGCATTATTCTTTCAAAAATAAAAAAAATTGTCCTCAAGTTATATCTAATGCATAGGGATATGCATCATTGTTGCCTTCATTGATACCACAGCCAACCACGGTCGTGAGTCCCAAGTGGGGATGTTGGTTATCAGAATTTGCCATAGGAGTGAAATCAATTGAGAGGATACCAAAGATCGAAGGGGTTGTTTGATTATCGAATTATAAAAAAATGAATTGTATTAAGTAATACATGATAATATCATAGAAGCGGATAAAATATAAGATCAAGCATGGGATAAAAATTTTACCCATTGTAATTTAGTAAGTCATTGAATTAAGAGTGAAATAATATAAGTATTAATTATATATTAACCAAAAAATCATTAATTTAGTTTAATATTTTAGTATTTTTATTTATTTAGTGGACAAAATAGTAAATTTATAACCTTATATGTTTCAACTAGATTATAATATCGCATCTCTAAATAGTTTTATAATTGAGTTTTATAATTGACTCAATAATAAGGATGCCATATTACAATGGAGATGTAATTAATTTGAACAAGATTATCTCTAAACTTAGATTAAATATTACAATTAGCTCTCAAACTTTACCTTATGTTTTAATAATAGTCTCTAATCTCCATCTTGGTCCGGTCAAAAACAGGTCATCCACACCGAAACTAGGATATTTATAAAAGATAAATTCATTATGCTTTGACCCTAAAGAATTGTCAAGATTCGAACTTATAACGTTTAGATTTACGACTTATCCTTATTACTATTTGAACTTCCCTTATAATTTTAAATTTTAATTGTCTCAATTAAGTCCCTATTCATGAATGGGTTATATCAATAAAATCCTTTTGTTAATTATTATAATTGAAATGTAGACAAGTCACGTAGATGATGAATTGGCTCCAACGCATCTAGGGTTCCCTAAACTGCTCGCATACGTCATACGTCGACACATGACACGCGGTCTGTCCATTTGCCCTTATGTGAAGATGGAAAGCCCGAGCACAAGGCAGCGGCTTAGCTTCTTTTGCAGCACTCGAAACGAATGGTAACAACCTACTCTTTTTACACACAAAAAATTGTGACATATGAATCACCTACCTTGCGCTTCACTTAGAGTCGGTCGGGCCCATTTATCTTGTGACCGTTCATTTGTTCTACCAGCAGAATTTAATTGAGACGTAATTAATAGTTACTCTAAATGATTAAATTAAGACAATTTAAAACTCAATTTTTTTTTTAAAATACCTATTTGGGCCCTAAATCATCCTTTTCTTGCCGAGGTTGCTCCTAACAGCAAGTTGAAAACACTCGTTGTCTTCACAGTTCTCTCTTCTCTCTCTCTCTCTCTCTCTTCCATGGCGGCCCTTAGGAGAATCCAAAAAAACATCTTGGGTCATCTTTCACAGCCCAACCGCAGTACTCTTTCATCAGCCTCTCCCCTCCAATCTCTTCCCACCCTTCTAATATGTCGCAGAGGCATAGCTTCCAAGCTTTTCGTCGGAGGTACTTTCTCTCTCTCTCTCTTCATTTTCATTTTCCTTTTAAATTTGGTCATCTCTTTGTTGATGCCGTTCTTTAGATTACCTTATTTGGGTGTTACCATTTTGCGTTCTTCCTTTTCATAAAGCTCATGACTCCGTTCTTCAAAACGTTAACTATGTGATTAGCAGAGAAGTATATGCCCGTGTGTGTGTGTGTAGTTCCACTATAATTGTCTGCGTGACAGAAATTGTAATGGTGAGAAGGAAAAAAGAAAAACAGAGAGCAGAAGGATGAAGGATGAAGGAAAAAAAATTCAGTATATTCCTCGATGATCTCACTGTACATAATGCTAGGGGTATTTATAGCCCTCCTGTGTAACAAACTAACCAACTCTGTGCTGTCAATGGAAGCCAGCTAATAATAGAAAAAGTATTTACAAATGAATAGAAAACAAGGAATCTAGTGTAATTACAAATCAGCCCTTTTCTATATTTGTGCTCAACCGTCTTGTAGCTTGAGCTTGATTCTCCGTACTGTGTAATAGCCTCCCACAAGATGGAGAATAGAGGTTGACTATTCCCATCTTGGATAAATGTAACTTAATGATGAAGGAGGGCAAAGCCTTTGTAAATATATCAGCTAGTTGGCACCGTGAGGCAACATGAGTTGTGATGATGCTGCCTTCTTGGATCTTGTCTCTGATTAAGTGACAATCTAACTCAATATGCTTGGTACATTCGTGAAAAACTGGATTAGCAGCGATGTGGAGTGCGGCTTGGTTGTCACAATAAAGTAAGGCAGCCTAAGAATGTGGAACCCGAAGATCAAGAAGCAAGTACCTAAGCCAAGTGAGCTCAGAGCATGTGGAAGCCATGTATCGATATTCGGCCTTGGCTGAGGAGCGGGACACCACAGATTGTTTCTTGGATTTCCAAGAAATAAGGGAATTGCCAAGAAGTATGCAATACCCAGTAACGGAGAGACGTGTGTCAGGACACGAGGCCCAATCTGAATCACAATAGGCCTTAAGTTGAAGTGGAGATGAGGATGAGAGTAATATACCCTGTCCAGGTGCTGCCTTTATGTATCGAAGAGTTTTATGAGCTGCAGCCAAATGTGAAGTCGTGGGATGATCCATAAATTGGCTAAGGAGCTGGACAGCATAAGATATGTCAGACCGAGTGATTGTAAGATACAACAAACGGCCAATAAGTCTTCTATAGAGGCTCGGGTCCGGTAGTGGATCACCAGAAGATTTGCTGAGCTTAAAATTCTGCTCATGGGGCAGTTGAAGTGGTTTGCTGCCAAGGGTCCCTGTGTCAGCCAAGATGTCCAAAGCGTATTTTCTTTGACACAAGTGAATACCTTTGGAAGACCTGACAACTTCCAAACCAAGAAAATAGCGCAAACATCCAAGATCTTTTATCTTAAATTGAGTGTGAAGAAAAGATTTTTGAGTGATGCAATGGAAGAAGGACAATTACCAGCCACAATAATATCATCTACGTAAACTAGTAAGGCAATGAAAGATGAGCCATCTAGTTTAGTAAAGAGACTGTAATCAGCTTTAGATTGTTCAAATCCAAAATCAATGAGAGAAGATGAAAATTTAGAATACCATTGGTGGGAGGCTTGTTTATGTCCATAGAGGCTCTTGAGAAGCTTGCATACTTGATTGGGTCCTCCTTTGTTATAATCCGGTGGTTTACGCATATAAATCTCCTCATTCAAATCACCATGGAGAAATGCGTTGTGAACGTCAATTTGAAAAAGTGACCAGCCTTGTACTGCTGCAACAGATAATAAGACTCTGACAGTAACAAGCTTGGCAACTGGAGAAAAAGTCTCCGTATAGTCTATACCTTCTTGTTGTGTGAACCCCTTTGCAACAAGCCTTGTTTTCAATCTTTCTATAGAACCATCAGCATGAAACTTAGTTTTGTAGATATATTTGCAATCAATTGCCTCTTTTCCAGGAGGTAAATCAGTGATAATCCAAGTTTTGTTCTGTTCTAAAGCGGACAATTCAGTGTTCATAGCTTGACACCAACTAGGGTGTTTGACAGCTTGTTTATAAGTGGTAGGGTCAAAAGCAATGGAAATGGAGGTGGAAAAAGTCCCCAAAGGAGAAAATTTTTGGTAAGTTAGAAAATTAGCTAAAGAGCAGGAATGACCAGTAGAGGAAGAAGAAGCCGTGGACAGCAACTGAGAAGGGCCTGAACGTGAAGTCTGGTTGCAATGAAATTCTTGCAAGTATTGTGGAGCTGTCCTTACCCTTTGTGACCTGCGAAGAGGGGGTTGAGGTGGAGAAGCTGGTGTGGAAAGTGAGGGATTAGTAGTGGGAGAAAAAGTGGAAGAGTTATGTGATGGTTCAACATGTTGTTGAGATGTATCTAGTGCAGGTATGGAGGGTGGGGTGGCAGGATGGTGAGGAGAGGGACTAACTTGTGGAGAGGAAGAAATTGTGGAAAAATGAAGTGAGTCCGATAAAGGTTTAGTAAAAACAAAGGTGGGGTTCGGAGAAGGAATGGATGGGGGATGAGGTAAAGATTGAAATGGAAAGATGGACTCATGGAAAAGCACATCCCGATAGACAAAGGTGGTGTTGGACTCAAGATCAAGCAATTTATAACCTTTAATTCCAAAAGGATATCCAAAAAAAATGCACATGCGACCTCGGGGATCAAATTTTGTTCTTCCTTGTGAAAGAGTGGCAGCAAAACAAAGAGACCCAAAAACTTTTAAATGAGCATAAGGGGGTGGAGATTTAAATAAAAGTTCAAAGGGTGTTTTGTTTTGAAGAAGGGGACTAGGGGTCCTATTAATGAGGTATGTGGCGGTCAAAACACAATCATTCTAATATTCAAGAGGAAGACAAGCTTGAAATTTTAAAACACGAGCCACATTAAGCAAATGTTGGTGTTTCCTCACCACAACTCTATTTTGTTGTGGAGTGGCAGCACAACTTGTTTGATGTAGGATCCTTTTTTTATGAAAAAACTCTTTCATTTTAAATTCTTTACCATTATCACTTTTGATGGTAAAGTTAAATTGATTTTCAATCATATTGGTAAAAGATTCAATGCTGGTTCGGGTGGCAGCTTTGTTGGGAAGGAGATACAACCATGTACTCCTAGTGAAGTGATCAACTAAAGTTAAAAAATATTTTGAGCCATCATAAGCAGGAACAGGATTGGGTCCCCAGAGATCACAATGCACAATTTCAAATGGTATTGATGTCTTATGTTTGCTATGAGGGAAAGGAAGTCTATGAAGTTTTGCCAATGGACAAATGTAACAAGG